AATGAGCGTGAGGCCTTTTCACATCATCGCGATATCGACAACGATGGCTATATGAATGAGGAGGAGGTAAAGCTGTGGATCACTCCCACGGACTTTGATCACTCGGAGAGCGAGGCTAAGCATCTGATCTTTGAGGCGGATGTCGATCATGATGACCAGCTGACCAAGGCGGAAATTTTGGACAAATACGATGTCTTTGTGGGCTCCCAGGCCACCGATTTCGGCGAGGCTCTGGCCCGGCACGACGAGTTCTAGAGCCTAGAGATTAAGAATGATCCTAAGAATCTCCCACTTCGAATGCCAAATATCTTGTAAAACTCTTCCCTAGACGATAAGACGATTGAGAGTACATTATACACTGACTTGAATGCGAGGATCTGGACTAATTGATTTGATATGTATGATGTGATTTGTTTAATTGAAAGGCGTCCACGTCAGCTCTTGCGGAGCATCAATGGCCACGTCACTGGAACGTACGCACACACACACACACAGACTCTATTGACCCCTGCCCCATTTTCCCGGTCCTCGCCACAGATACGCCACCGCATTTGCCTGTGTAACATTCATACATAAACATAAATGATTTTCGCTGTTGCCTCGATTCACTTCCCGCAGCGAGAACATTCCATCACCATATGTGTGTGAACGAAATGAGAGAGTGCACTGGAAAAAAATGTGGGAGATTACCAGAAAAGAAAATTGTAAATTTAATATGTGGAACTACCTTTTAAATTTTACTTAAAATAAATATAAAAAAAAGCGAGATGCCTTGAAAAAATAATTTCAACCTGCTGTTACTTATATAAAAACAAGCAAAACTTTTTAAATTTTTTATAAAAAATATATATGGTAGATCTAAAATTTAATTGTGTAAGAAATTAGTACCTTCCCAGGACATATGTGGTTACCCATATTTAATTGAAATCCACAAAATCATAGAAAATTTTCCCAGTGTATTAGAACAAGAGAGGGGCAACAGCAATCGGTTACTTTGTTTTAAGCTGATTTTGATTATTTTGGGTTCTCGACTTTCGCCGAGATAAGCAAATAATTCGTTTTTCGGCTGTTGATAAGTCTGATGTCCCCCACTTTTGTGTGTACAGTGAGCACTCGCAAGTGATGTCAGTCATTGGTCACCAGATGGTGGATAGCGTAAACAAATGGCATGCGTGTGGGTTCATTAATGCAGATCTTGGAATAGAAGAGAGAACTTGTAGAGATAACTCAGCTCTGTGAGAACGTTTCCAAGCCAAAACTAGTTTTAGGTTCTTTTCCATTTATATGTTTATAATGACTGTCTATTTTTATAAGAACGGTAGATCATTAATCAGTTTTTGGACAAAAAAAAAGGGAAAAATGCGAAAAACTGAAATTTAAATAAATTTAAAGTAATTTTGTTAATTAAAAAACTGTTGAAATCAAATACCTTGCTAAGATAATTTCCCATTTTTCTGAAAGCTTAGCTAACTTTTGTATGTAACTAATACATAAATATAATTTCTATTTTAAAAACTTAAAATTAAATTAATTTAAAGTAATTTGGTAATTTTTCCCAAAGCTTAGCTAACTTTACTTAGTAACTAATAAATTATTATAATACCTATTTTCATAATAAAAACAAATCTGAAATCTTTTTAATGCTTTATTGATTTCCATTGAAATAGACACATTTATATAATTATCTTGGTTTCGTTTCTTGTTTTTGTTGCTGTTGATTTTTATGTCTTGAATATCTGTTTTCTGTTTGTTTTTAAAATACAAAGTATTCAAAGTGTTTCTCAGTTTGATGCCTTTAATTTTCAGTACATAGTATACGAAGGACTTTTCATCTTATACATACTTGTATATAGAATATATGTATATATATATATATATTGATAGTTCCTGGATCTAGCAAAAGTGTTTAAAAAGTTGTTACACATCCAACAACATCTAAATTCAAGTATGTAATAATGTAAGTGTAATTGCAATGGAACGTTTACTTTACTGACTCTCAATATCATCAATATCAATATCCTGGATCCCCAGCTAGAGGACCTACCAATCAACAGGCGACATCTATGCTTTATGCTCTTTTATGCGGCTAATTCGTCTCTCCTTACGCTCTCTTTTTTTTTTTTTTTTTTTTTAGGTTTTCATTTGTTTTTCTTTTGGTTTTACCTCAGTTTTACAACATTAATTTTAATTACAAAAAGTTATTAAATAATACAAAGTACAGTTAGAGTTTACAGTTTACGGATCTCCCATTGGGGGTTCTCCATGTTTTTCTTTTTATCTTGAAACATTTCGCGACAACTTTTAGTTCAAAGTAATGCACACAGGGAAACAGAATTATGGATTATGAATTATAGAACACACACGAAACGAACTCGGAACGGGAAACGGAAACAAAAGCAAGAGGATGAATGGGTTGGCGGGGGTTTCCCAGCAGGGATCCCTCTCACAAATTAGTGGCAAAGAAGTGTAACAAAGAAACTACGGTTTAGCCAGATTGCAGATTATCTGGCCAACGCTTAGGTTACATAATTGTTTATCGTTAATAATATTACGTTTAAATAGAATCCAGCGGGAGGATCTTTTCTCTCTCTCTCTCTCTCTCTCTTTGCTTCTATCGATCGCTCAATCTCTTTTAGAGCAGGGTGCACTTGCGCTTGGACTTGGGCTGCAGAACCGGGCACAGGACCGACCGGATAGCCTCATCAAACACCGTCTTCAGGCCCTTCTGCGTCAGCGCCGAGCACTCCAGATACTTCACCGCACCGATCTCCTTGGCCATGGCCAGGCCCTGCGGGTAGGTGATCGGCGCTAGCTTCTTGTCGCGCAGCTTCTCGATCGTGTTCTTGTCGTCGCGCAAATCCAGCTTGGTGCCCACCAGGATAATGGGCGTGCTGGGGCAGTGGTGGCGCACCTCCGGATACCATTTGGCCCGCACGTTCTCAAACGACGCCGGATTCACCAGCGAGAAGCAGATGAGGAAGACATCAGTCTGTGGATACGACAGCGGTCGGAGGCGGTCGTAGTCCTCCTGTCCAGCGGTATCCCATAGTCCTAGATTAATAGGCTTCGCATCCACCATCACGTTGGCGGAGTAGTTGTCAAAAACGGTGGGGATATATTCCCCGGGAAAGGCATTGGTCGTATAGCTGATCAGCAGGCACGTCTTTCCCACGGCTCCGTCGCCCACAACGACGCACTTGATCGCTTGCATGGTGTGTGTTTAGTTTTTAGTTGCTGTCCCAAACTGGAGTGGACTCTGGGGTAGGAGCGGAGTGCTTTGTGCGAGATTGGAGATTGTGCGGCGGCGGCGGTGGCGGTGGCGGCGGGGTGGTACTGCAGGGGGTGCTGATGGCTGGTCTGCTGGCAGTCGTCGGTTCTTTTTGGGCGGCGGCGACGGCGGAGGGCTGTTGCTCTTGCGGCGGCCGTTTGTCCGTGTTATCCTCGTCGTTCCGAACTTGTTTTCAGTGCCCTTTTGGTCCTCGGGGACGCCTGATGACAGCGCCTTGCGTTTCGGGCACTTTAAATAGCGTTTTGTGCGTTGAATTCCCTAATTTTTTCCTTAATTTCTGTAAATTTTCTGTGTACTGCAGTGTGACCGCGGCTGGACTGTTCAAAAATACCATCCGGCGTTCAAGTACATCTAAAAATATACCGTTTGTATTGTGGTATATACCAATGAAGCACCGCTGAATTGTTCGAGTGTATTGAAATTATCAATCTTTCTTTTCTATTAGCTGTATAATCTATAATAAAGAACATTAATAAGTCAAATAGAAAACCTATTTATATTTTTCAAGATATAAGCAATTTTTTATTATTCAGTAATTTTCCATCATTTAGTATTTTTCTGGAACTCAGTATTTATGGAAGTAAAAAGCAGCAAAGTCTACATGGTCACTCTGCGGCACCCAATAGCAATTTCGAAAATTAGAATTTATTTATTGCTAATTAGCTAAGGCATAAACACTGCGCCACCTGTCCCTGCACCCCCATAGGTGATGAGATCCAGCAACCGACAGCAGTCGAGCTGGGCGTGTGCGTTTGATAGCCAAATTCCAATTGGTAACTTTCTCTTCCGGTTTACCCGAACCAAAATCAACAGGTACCTTCAATGCTACCTGGTACCTTTCCAAACTGAAGGCCTCCGATTTGGGTTCATTTTGTTAAATTTTTATTTGTTTTTGCCCAACTATTTTTTTGTGTGGTTTATATTCTCGTTTCCATCGAATATATATAAAAGTTCAATTCGATTTACATTTTCATCAATTTTCCAATGAGATTTAAAATGTATTCTATATAGATCTATATATTAATCATAGCTTAAGGGATATATAATGCTACGATTCGATTTCCATTTCGAAATTATGTATATTGGTTCTTTGGTTTCTAGAGATATTTATATAGATCTCGACGAGTGTGGTATCAAAAAGCCACCTTATTAGAAAGAAGATAGTGTTTCTGTGGGGGAGAAACCACAAGAAAGTTAGACTATATACGTCTATAATCAGCCTATAATTATAATTAAATCTTATGTGAATATATTTTTACAATCAGTGATTGCGAATTGCTCCAAGTTGGTCCTATCATTTAAGGTTTACACTAATTCGAGGATGGACAGGCCATCTACCCCGTTTCTCTCTCTTTCCCTAAGAGACATTGTATCTCGGAGACTATACATATATAGTTTACATTTAATTTCAGGACCGATCTTTATTTTTCATTAAGCATGTTGTCATATTTAGAGAAATCAAAGGAAGCGACGTGTCGAGCGAACGCCGCGACGTTCACGGACTCGGATGCGCCTCACAATACGGCCATCACCAAGCTCCCGGCTCCTCCTGCGACGCACACCATCGCCTCCTTCCCGCTCACGGCGGATAATTACAACGCGACGGCGCCTATGGCGACGGCGATGGTGCTTTTTGGTCGTCGCCTCAGTGGTGGTCGTGGCAGCCGTGGTGGTTGTGGTTGTTGGAGCCACTGTCGTGGTCGTGGTAGCCGTGGTATCAGAACTGCTGGAAGAGCTGCTCGACGGCGAGGTTGAGCTGCTGGATGGGGAAGTTGAGCTGCTTGATGGGGAAGTGGAGCTGCTGGTTGGGGAAGTGCTACTTGAACTGCTGGCTGGAGTGCTTGCCTGCATAGAAAGGACCACCAGAGCGGCCAGGATGGCCAGGGAGAAGGCTTGTATTGGGCGCATGGTGGCTTCTTTTTGAGACTGGGCTTTAGATTCTGCTTCTGTCAGTCACAATACCGAGTTATTTATAGTGAAAGTCTCTACAGCATCCGAAGTTATCTCCAGACTCGGTTGTTTACTGACCAAATATGTATATCCCATTTGTGGAGTTTCCAAGCTCCAGAGAATTAAGTAATCAAAGCTGCCATTGATGTCTTATTGTTAGAAGACAAAAAAGAAATGGTTAGGAAAAATACGTACATTATTGCCAGAGTCCAAGTCTTTCTTGAGTAAAATTATATAAAAGTTCAATTCGATTTACATTTTCATCCATTTTCCAAGGAGATTTAAAATGTATTCTATATAGATCTGTATTTTAATCATAGCTTATCTAATGCTACGATTCGATTTCCATTTCGAAATTATGTATATTGGTTCTTTAGTTTCTAGAGATGTTTATATAGATCTCGTTGAGATTGGTGGCGTTGTAGAACTATTAGTTAAGTACGTCATCAGCCAAGTCAATCTGGCCATCTCTTTCAGTCAATAACGATGGCAAAACCAGAGTTGCAGGAACCACAAAAGGTTCTCCTTATTAATAATTTATTGTTCTTCTTCTTCTGAGTTACCAAGTGTCCAATAAATAATATAAATAATTTATTACACCATACTTCTAGTTGAATCTAATTTTAATCCTATTCAAGTATACAAATAATAGTCTAAATAAAGCACCAAAAACTTCTGTTCAATTTAATAAAGCTTGTACATATTGGCCTAACCAAGTGTTGCCGACAGTCAGTCTTGGCCAACAAAAGAGTTCGAGTTAATATTTGAGTTAAGAAAAGGAACTAAACAAAGTCTGGTTTACAAAGAACGAAGGGAACCCGGGCCAAAAATAGTTTCATGCGAATTTGTTTTTGTGTATTTGTTCTTGTACCTGAAACTTTAAAGCTAAAGTTTTGTATAAAAACTTTTAAAATTTTCCGCTCCCTTGACGTAAAAGCACTTAGTTTACCCTGTGGAGGGCTATAAATGGAGAGGTAATAGACTCAATCTAAAAACAGTTATACCTTAGTCCGTTGAAGTTTTACGATGAGGATCCTAATAGCTTTAACGGTCGCTCTTTTGGCCATCCACTTCGTGCCGGTTGATTCTGAATCAAATTCAGGATCTTCCGCAGGATCGGGCTCAGGAACTGGCACAGGAACAGGCACAGGAACAGGAACAGGTACAGGAACAGGCACTGGAACAGGCACTGGCACAGGAACAGGAACTGGCACTGGCACCGGTACAACAACTGAAGCTCCCACAACAACAACAACAACAACGACGACGACGACAACAGTTGCTCCTTCCACCACCCACAGGACACTCCGTCATCGTAGGCGACGACGCATTATTAGGAAAATTATCCACAGGCGCAATGCCGCAGAGAGAAAGCGCCGAAGTGGTTAGATGATTAAATAAATTTACAAATATCTTGAATCTTTTTGGTTTTTATTTGTTGAATACCAGTTTTAAGTAGGCAAAATGTTATTTTTAAATTAAATTTGTAAAACATTTTCACTGATTACTATTATTTTTTTAAGTGTAGCCACAATTGCATTCACAAAAATACTAGACACTTTTCGTTGACGTTTTGTTGACCCCATTCAAACGGTCACACTGCCAGCACAAGAAAATTCTTTGGACGAAAACTCTACAAGATTTCCGTTTTCAATTAACAATAATGAATTAATTAGCGCTTGAATTAGCACAAGGCCTTAAGTGAAGAAACTAGCACAGCTCCGAGGCACTAGGAAACGATGGTAAGTCGGCCGGAAAAGGCTGGAAATCTGTTTCCACGACAAGGCCAACCGGCTTGACAATCGACCAAAAATAGACCGGAGCGGAGGAGCAGGCCAAAAATAGCAAAAACGGCCGCAAGACCGCCGCATGTGTTTCCAATCGCCTGACCAATCCACAACACCCCCCTTTCCTTACAGGCGGTACTGGGCGCCCAATTGGTGATCACTCTGGTGATGGTCAGCGTCATCCAGAAGCTGAGTCCGCACTACTCCTTCGCCAAGTGGATACTGTGCCGCACCGGTCTGCACCGTTACCTGCATCCCACCGATGATGAGCTGCGCTCCAAAGGGGGAGTGCCGAAAGAGAAGCCTCCAAAGGGTGGCCGGAACAAGCAGGCTAACGGAAACGCCGCCAGCACCACACAGTTTCACATACCGCGCAGCATTGAGGTGGAGCTGGAGACTCTGCCCGTTCAGGAGCGCGATGTGGTGCACCTGCGCTACTTCACCGAATACCAGTGGCTGCTGGACTTTAGTGTCTACGCGGGCATAGTCTATGTGGTCTCGGAAGTCTTCCACTTCTTCTATCCGCTACGTCAGGAGATCAACCTGAGCATGGTGTGGTGCCTGCTGGTTATATTCTTTGCCCTAAAGCTGCTCTCCTCGCTGACGGTGCTCTACTTCCAGAGCGAGGAGTCTATAGGTGAGCGGTCAATGGTGATTGTGGCCTGTTTGGTTTACCTCTTGGTGGCCATGATTGTTTTGATTGTGGACGAGCGTATCCTGGAGACGGGCCTGGAGGATGCCTATGCTAGCTTTAATGCCAGTGCCTCTAAATTCCTAACAGAGCAAGGACTGCCTTCATCGTAAGTGATTTACCGCCCTGTCGAACTTTATTAAATTTATTCAAATTTTTAGTGGTCCCGCCTCCAAGATCGTGGTGAAATTCTTCCTAGCCATGGGCTGTGGCCTTCTGGGTTCATTGTTCACCTTTCCAGGCCTGCGCATGGCCAAGATGCATTGGGACTCGCTGAAATACTGCCGTGGCAATCGGTTTCTGCAAGTTCTACTAAATCTTAGTTTCGTGCTGCCTTTCATCCTGGTCATTCTATGGATCCGTCCCATCAGTCGCGACTACCTGACCGTGCGTGTTTTTCAAGGCATGCAACAGCCACTGTAAGTATGATTTTGTGGCATAATGTGATTATAGCTGATTTTTTCCTCTTTTTCTATGCAGCCTGAAGCCTCATGTCTTTGAGACCCTTCGCCTGCTGCTGGTGATCTTTGTGGTGGTGGTCCGCTTTGCCCTAATGCCTATTTATCTACAGTCGTACCTGAACCTGGCCCACGACAAGATCCTGGACCTACGCAAAGAGGCTGGACGCATCACCAATGTAGAGTTCAAGCAGAAGGTGAGAAAATAGCAACTTTTTCTTTTATAAATATATATTAATTTTTCTTTCTTCCGTTGCAGATCTCATCGATCTTTTATTATCTGTGCGTTGTGACCTTGCAATTTGCCGCCCCACTTATCCTGTGCCTGTACCTCACGCTGATGTACAAAAGTCTGGGTGGCTTCAGTTGGGCTGGCATTTTCAGGGAGAGCGTTGTCCTGCAGCACGAGTGTGCGGCAGTTGATGAGAATCCTTTAGCTGGTGCCAGTGGGGAAGCTTTAACGACCAATGTCCAAGAGGACTTTAATATTATTGAGTCGGCGCAATCGCTACAGGCCTCACTTAGTAGCCTTAAAAATGTAAGACCCTTTTTTAAATACCGAGAACCTCATGTTTATTACAAATATTTCAGGTGTTCTCAACGGAGGTGTACAAGGGCTTTTTGGGATTCGCCACCTGGTGGAGTTACTTTACGCTTTTCGCCACTTCGTCGCTGGGTATTGTGTACCAGTCCTATTTTAACAAGACCTAACAAACCAAAAATGTAGTCATACATCTTAAATTCTTTTGTAGTCGTTCATTCGAATCATACCTACATTTGATATTGTTTACACCTAGGTTAATCAATGTCTTGAGAACATATTGGTTTTAATGTATTGTAAATAATACTACTTTACTGACTGTTTATAAAGTGTGTGTAATAAAGACAAAAGAGAGTCATGGAAATTACCAAAGTATTCGATATATAAAGTTTTAAGCAATTAATATCTTGTTTGAATGTAGATTCTTTTGGAAATTCCCCTATATCTTTAATTGTCTTATTTTTAAATTTTTATTGACACTTCCTGTAACTTTGCTTTTGCGGAACCGGAAATGCATTTGAAAGTGATCAACTAAAAACCAATTTTTTCGGTATATCAATAAGCCGATGGTAAATTTATCCTATCGACCTCTGGCCACACTACTCATCAAACCCATGTTTTGTTTACGTTTTTTACCTCGTTGAAAACATGTTGAGAGTTACTCAAGTAAAAAACAGCCTCTTGGATGGCGCCTCCATAGCAGAGGAGCTGTACTCAACGCCACAGGATGGCGACAACTTCTTTGAGAGTCTGGAGAAACCGGCCAAGGAACCTGAAAACCTGGCCCCGCGCAACACATGTTGGTTATCCTCCATCCGCCCGGCACTTTTATAACTCTAATCTCTCTTCCAATCACAGTCATTCGTGCCGGCGTTGTGACCACAGTAAGGGGCTCTGCCTACATGGAATATGGAAACACAAAAGTCCTGGCCATTGTCTCGCCACCAAAGGAGCTAATCCGCGCCAGTGCTCGACGCATGAACATGGGCGTGCTCAACTGCTATGTGAACTTTGCGGCCTTTGCCACTGGAGAGCTGGAATCCGTGCCGGAGAGAGAACGCCTTCTGAGCAGCATGCTGACCAAGGCCATGGAGCCGGTTGTGTGCCGCACGGAGTTCCTCAACTTTCAGCTGGACGTCCGAGTGCTGATCCTCGACGATGATGGCTGTCTGCTGAGCACGGCCATTAATTGCTGTGGCGTGGCCTTGGTGGAGTCTGGCATTTCCACCTATGACTTGATCACGGCGTCCACAGCGTGTATTTATAGGGATCACGTCTTCCTGAATCCCAGCGCCAAAATGGAGGAGCTGCTTTGGAAACACCGCACTGGCACTGGCACTAGCACTGGCTCAGACAGCAAAGATAACACCAGCACCAAGTCAGTCCAGGAGCACGGCCTGATCATCACCGCCAGCTTGGACACTTTTGAACAGATTGCACAGTGCCAGCAATGCGGGTATCTCAGCCCAGAAACATACATGAAGCTGATGGACTACACCCTGGCTATTAATAAGTCGCTCCGCCAGCTGGTTAAGGGGGTCCTAACCGCGCGGGTGAGGGAGCAGCATGAACTAGATCTGCGCGAGAAGGCGGAGAGTGCTCTGGAGGATCAGAGATTGGCCGAGGTCATTGAGCGGCTCAAGCTGCGGGGTCTGGATGAGTTTATACAGTCCAATATCAAGGAGGATCCCTATGTTAAAAAGCAATAGGGGAACTGGAAATAAATTGCAGAAAGGAAGGTTTCAAATTGTTTCAGATAAAAACACTTTTTGCACTTAAAGTTCACCAAAACACTTTTTATTTTCTGTATTTTTGCACTTCCAAAGATTTTTCGAAAGACTCCGAAAAAGTTTACATATCTAATGTGTCTGCTGCGCTTTTTGCCAAAACATTTCTTCAATTCAGACTTGGTTTTCTTACGAAAAATTGAATTTCGGGCGCTCGATCGTTAGGCTTAAATTGCTAAAAATCCTACTACTGCTGATCCGAGGAGGCCTCCAGCACAGCCCCAGAGTAGGCCAGATCCCAGTAGTGCTCCACTTGGTGCTTCTGAAAGAATTCGCGTGCCATTTTCTCCATGGGAAAGATCTTGAATTTAATCTCGCCAAAATGCCGCCGTTGACTGGTGCCCTCCCAAACGAGTACGCACGAATTGGGCACATCCTGGCCATCATTGCCCTTGGCCAGGTCCTCCTCCCACTTGATGCGATGCAGCATGAGGCGTCTGTACTTCTTCTGTTGCTTAGGACCACCCTCTACAACGACCACACAGCAATCGCGGAACAGGACCACACTGCCAGTCATTTGCAGCTGCTTGGCATTCGTCTCCACCTTGAATTTCTTGCTTTGGTTGTCCTGCAAATCACGAATACGATAGACGCTCACATGCACCCCACAGCTGGTGTCCTCCCTCAGCTTGCGCTGCTTCTTCTCGCTCTTCTGCTCGCTGGTCAGCTTGCGGGCATTGTTGGCATCCTCGTGGGCCTTTTGCCGCTTGGCCATCTGCTCTCGGACATGCTGCTCCATCTTGGTGGGGTCCTGTACTGCCTCCGAGCCGAGAACCCGCATTAGGTTGGAGATGCGCAGCTTGGGCTCTGGCGGTGCCACCAATCCCAGGCGTATCTTCTCCTGCTCCTCCTTCCAGGCCTCACGACGATTCTGGCGGCGCAACTTCTTGCGCTCCTTTTTGGTAAGGAAGACCGGTAGGTAGACCGGCTTCAGTGGCTCATCTAAGGAGGTAAACAGGATTTTAATTTCGATTGATGGAGTTACATGTAAAATACTTACTTGGTGGCTTCATTTGTGTGGGATGCTCAATGAGATTGCTAATGGCCGCCTGTCGTATGCTTATCTTACCGCTCGCCTCGTCCACCGTCTCCATGTCCTGGGTAAGTATGACCGAATCCCACCACTCCATGGCGGGCACATCGTCCGGCATGTCCTGCTTCGGTGCAATTAGTGCTAGCTTGGTGGCTGACGAAATGCCAGTCTTCCTGGCAATCTGTGATATCTCGTTTTGCAGCCTCTCCAACTGGCTCTTCATGCGCATCCGTTCGGCTAGCTGCTGGAACTTGCCGGGCTCGTGGAAGCGCAGCGTTCGCTTATTCCGCACTGTAGGTTTCTGTGCGATCCGGTCATCAAAGTACTTGATTGCCTCATCCTGCGCCGAGCTGGCCGGATCGTTGCGCTCACCAACACCTCCCGTTTGACGCTGGAACACCTCCCGCTTCTTGGCCCGAATGTTCGCCTTTAGCGTGGGCGTCACCGTCGGTATGTTGATGGTCCGGCCGCTTTTATCCACGGTACGTCCCTCCTCGTCCAAGATCAGGGGTTTTGGACGTTCCTGCGCCTGAGCGGCCGCTGCAGCAGCCGCTGCCACTGCCGTGGGTTGGATCAGACTGGCCAAGTTACCGGTCAGTTTCGCCCTTATCTGCGCCTGCAGTTCGGCTATCTTCCTGGCCTTCTCCGCATCCTCGGGCGTTGGCTTTTTGGCGAGCGCCTGAGCGGCCAGGGCTACGGGCATGCCGATTTGTGGCACAGACGCCAGCAGGGGATCCTTGTCGCGTAGATTGCTCAGTGCCCGCTTGCGCTCCTCGATCTCGCGCTGGGCATGGGCCATCATCAGCTTGATCTGTTGGGAGCTGAGCGAGGCAGCCGCTGAGGCGTCTTCATGCTTTTCGCTTCCATTTGACGAGTCCTTGACGTCAAAGCGGGATTTCTTTGGCACTTCGACGGCACCACCGCCTCCTGAATTCGAGGCGGCAGCGCGCTTTCTGGCCAATTTCGGATCGTCGCCGTCGCCATCCTTGCGCGTTATAATGGACGACATAATTCGCAATTAAATGGGTCTGACTAAAAAGTAAAGGTTATTTACCAACAACTTTGCACATTCCTCGAGCGGTTTTGCAGCAGTTTGTCAGAAAACAACACACAACGTTTTTCAGTGAAAAATTCTTCGAGTCACAGGGTTGTTCAACAAAATACACAGAGTTGTTTCGCTACAGTAATAAACTGCCAGAGTGACCAGTTTGCAAGAGTATTAGTGATGCCAGAATTCTAGCGGGAAACACGATTGCTTTCCCCGCAGGATATATCAAACAAAAATTATATATGTAAATATAGCTTCTTAACTTATGTCGCTCTTTCGCAAGTCAAATATATCGTAATTTAATTTTAGTTTAAATTAAGAACAAGTTTAGCACTCTTTATTAAATTACGTTCACATTTCCCGCTAGAATTCTGACAGCAGTGTCGTATCGCCATGCAACCCTGCTTCTCTCAATTTTTTTTTGTGTCGCTCTCCGCTCCGCCATATTTGTTGAAGCCGCTTACAACTTGTCTATTTTTTTCTCGTCGTGTCTGTGTGTGCTTAATTATTTGTTGTGGAAATTAAGCGATATTCGTGTGCATAAATAGCGTAAAAGTTGCGTTCGACGGCAAGCATGGCATCGGAGGAAGACAATGACGATAACTTTCAGGGTGAGTACATTGTTTTAGTCGGCCAAAAGTCGGCGTGAAAAACTTCGGTTTGCTCCGGAGAATGCGAAGAACCGTGGTCATGTTCAAGAGCCGCGATGCCGCGTGTGCCGCCCTTCCCCTTGCCCGCCCTTGCTGTTTATTATTGCCGAAATCACCAATTGGAAATGGAGAGAGAACTGTTCTCTCATAACAAGTATACATTACAAATATTTGTGAAATTTTACATGTGTGGCGCGTTTTTCTGGGCTTTTTCGCCTCCTCCATTCCACACACTTTTATTATTGCATTTTTGTGTTCCCTTGATTCGCGAATGCAAGCATATATCCGTCCTGCTCGCACACCAAAACATCTGTTTTACATGGTTGTTTTGATTCGCATATTTAAATCGGAAGTGTGTTATTACACAAAGAACTCGAATTTGCTTATATTAATTAGTTTTAAGTTATTTAAGTACATTAATAACCCGGTCAAGTTTGCGCTTAGAAATAAGAAAATTACAATGTTATTCTCGCTCGCGACAGTGTGGCAGTACACGCAGTAAGACCGTGTCCTGCCCCGTGCGGAAACCTCGCTAAAAGTGTGACCGCACTGTTGCGCATCGGAAATCCAGAGTCGGCCATGCCTGCCACCATTTACATTCATTGTTGCTTGGATTCGTTTAGACGTGGCAGCCATGACGTGATTTCTGAGTTTTTGTTAAACAGATTACACTATTAATCGTAGCGAAAACTGTAACTTTAGGGGAATACGTGCATTACTCGTCACCGCCTTTCGATTTGCCAGTGTAAAATTAGAAATCCAGTGCGTAATACATCCAACAACAAAAAAGAAGTGTGCAAAAAAAACTTGAAATTACCACAAAATATTGTGTAAGAAAGCATTGCGAAAAGAAAGAATAAAGAAAAAGAATTGTGCATATGTACGAATCGAAACAAAGATGCGTGAAAATCTTATGGAAAATCTTGTCGCACTTGCACTGACGTACATACATATGTGATTTTTTCCCACTCCCCCTTCAACGTCGTGTTCGTACTCTTGATTGATTTCTCCACTCTCTCGTGTGGATGCGTCTGTATGTGTGCGTGTTATGCACGCGCGCTCCAGCAAACGTCGCCGTCGTCGTCTGTCGTCCGTCGCCCGTCTCTGTCGCTCCAACTGCGAAAACGAAACCGAGTAGGAAAAATAATGAAGAAAAAGCCCCGAACCGACGCGTTTTAATTAAATTTAGTAACAAATAGCAACACAACCAACTTACAATAATTTCAATAAGTGCCAACAACAAGAAGCTGAAATGAAACGTATATGTCGCCTTTTTAAGCCACTTAACCAAAATATGCCAACACACAAGTAAGAAGAAGAAGCAGCAGCAGACGACGAGTATTGCTGTGTGGGAAAGAGAGGGAAAGCGCTGTGGGATGGAATGGAAGGGAGCCTGTCGAGGAAATTGCTGGAATGTAGTAGTAGAAAACCGATAAACAATATGCCGCTGCCGCCACCGTGTAACAAACAGCATTATCAACCCCAATTTCGCATACAATTTATGTTAATTCGTTCGCAGCTGTTCCTTTTCTGTCTGCTCCGCTCTTCTCGTCTGTCCCTGCCCCCATTTTTCGCCTCTCATTTTTCCGCTGTTCGACGCTGTTGCACTGTGGGCGTGCGTCCGTATATGTATGTATGTATATGAGGTGTGTACGTGTTTGTGGAAGTTATCCTAGAGAATGAGCGTGGGAGTGTCTAATTTTAACACTCGTCTCCCCCTATTCGTGTTCTAATTGGATTTGTGGTCCGCTGCTGAGATCCTCTCTCTATAAATATACATATATAAATATGTATTTCTCTCTATTGTGACGTCTGCACACAAGTTCTTGGCAATTTCTCTTTGATTTCACCATTTGCCGGCTGTCGGTTGTGGTTGGTTCTGCGATCAATTTCAATGATTTACATGTGTTAACCAGATGATGAAAGTGTTTATTTTGACTCCGCATGGAAACAAAACAAACCGCAATTTATTTATTCATAATCTGTTGTCATGTTCAAGTAAACAATCGAGTAATGAGTGCGACATTGCATAAAAGGCTGAGAAGAAAGAGATAGATAGAGACAGCGAGAAGGGTGTTTGAGTGCCTGCATTTATGCACAAGTACAATTAAAATAAGGAAGAGGGAGGGAGTGCGGCAATGACGTATTTTGCTGACGTACTATTCGTTCTGGTCGATTTTCCCTTTTAACTTCAGAAATTCCATAAATCTGCCTAGAAACCATATCTAGCAAACACGAACTGGGCGCCAGCACAAATAAAATTCAAAAAAGAAAAAAATAAAACTCAATACAAGAAGTGAAAGTATATTGAGTGAGTGTATGTGAGCTGTGCGTCGCCTGTGTATTAGTGGCGATCTTACCTTGCTTTGGCGAACTACAACATGCCATCCCACTCGCACGCACTGCATTCAATCATGCCAACAACAAGTGGTGCCTTTTTATATCCGCCATGTACATACGTACATATATAAATATGTATGCCTGAGTGTGTGTGCTGGCATTTCAAAAAGTTTACTCGCAGCTTAAAATCCACAAAAACTATGAAACACAAATATAAGAAATGTAAATATTATTTTAGCTTTCAATACTGTTCATTTTGTTTCATTCGAAAATCGTTCTCTCAAGAAGAGCAACAACACTGGGTCGATTGTGGTTTTTTGTGCATATGTATGTAGTTCTTTTCGTTTTTGACATTTGACGCGTATCGCTCTTTTCCTCTCTCTCCCTCTCTCGTTTTTTATGGGAGCGTGTGTCGCTCTTCCAAAGTTGTTTTTATTGCCTTCAGTTGGAGTACACCAACACTATTGTAGCAGACACAAAATCGGCAGCATTTGACATTGATTACCGTAATACCTTCAGCTTGTATGGTTGCCTATCTGCCTGTCTGTCAGACAGAGAGACTGTGCTTCTTAATATTTGTGCAACTGCTTGGTTGTCTCTTGTTATTTTACCTATTTACAGTAATTGTGTGTGAAAGAGAGAGGCGAGAGCGAGAAGGCCACGCTTCAGTTCGATGGCTGCTGTTTTCGCTACTACTGCTATTTGTTTCAGATTATTCGTACATACATATATATTTATGTACATAAACTTGCAAGCAGTGTTCACACACACTCGCACCTAATTGATACATATGCATTTGTTTTATTTTTTTGGAAGTTGCCCGCATACAAATATGCGTACATCCACCGTAATATTGTGTACAATTTAATTTATTTTTAAAGCATTCACTGTACTAGTGAACGTGAAATAATCGAGCCTTATCAACTGGTCGTTCAGCTGATCGATGATGCTATAAAAGTGTGTGTGTGTTCTAGGGTTGCTACTATTTTCGAACCTAAAAGTATCGGACGTTTACTATGCATTCTGCCCAATTTAAAAACAATTATTTATTAAGGGAAATTGATTTTATAAGTCTTTGTTTGAGTCTATTTTGTTGCTGAAATTTATCTCTTAATTTTCTTATTTACAAAGTATTCGACAACCCTGATCGACCAGAAACCCTTCTGCATTTCAATGCTATTTAGCACGGGAGGTGAAAGTGAAGGTCATTAATATTTGCATATGGAAATGTTTACGCAGCAAAAAAAGCCAAAACATAAATGGTCATATGGCAAATGCCATTTCATTTTGTCTCGTTTCTTTTTATTTCGTTTTCCTTTTGCCATCATTGGTGACCGTTGTGGCTTGAGACTCTGTTCCTCTGTCTCTCTCTCGTTCTCTCAACGTGAGCTTTGTTTTTGTGCTTTCAGCCAACAAAGTAATGTTGTTTGTTTTAATAGCCCCAACTTAATTGGTTCAATAGTTTTGTAATTGTTATCGAGTTCCGCTTGTGGCCCAGCACAAAGTAAACCCAAAATTTTTGCTTCAATTGTCACCAAAAATAGGTTTATGGTTGTAGCCCCCAGTCTGTTTTCCTGGGAGTGTACACATTGTATTAAATAAAAACAACAACAATCAGCACGCATATCTATTTGTGTCACATCCATGCGAAAACACGCGTACAAGATGTGTGTCAGCGAATTTGTGTCATTCCCGTCCCGTTTCTTCTTTTATTGGCACATGTAATCGAAATTGTTGCTTCCAATCGGTTCTTTTTGCGCTTCGCTGTTGTCTAATTAGCCAATTAGTTGGTCGCTAAGCCGAAGCTATGGCTTATAAGCTCAGAAGTCTCACAATCAGTTTCAGCGCATTGCCAACTAGGTGCATAATTGTTGCCAACGACATTGCCAGCAGCGCCCCACTCTATGCGTGTGAGTGTGTGTGCTTGTGTCTGTGGTTAACAGCGGAGGTCATAATGTTAGCACAAGAATTCAAACCGAGGTCTAAACTTTAAAAACTGGAATCAAACCATTATAACCTATTAAGGTTGCCTTTTTTCAAATTGAATATAAATCTTTCCAATTAAATATATATATATTTGCAAAAACTAATACTTATTGGAACTACTTTCTTGACCGCATCTATATATTTTGATTGTTGTAATCCGTCGTTAACTTTGGCATAGTTTTGTAGCTGAGAAACCAGAAAATAAAACAAAAAAAAACCAACATTAAAATTACCAACACACAAGAGACAACAATAAATGCAACAACTACAAAAATGTAGTTGACAACCAGCCCTCGTTTTTGTTGTTGTTGCCGCGTTGCCACCCCGACTTGTTACATATTGCCACTGCTCTCTGTAGCTGTAATTGTAGCTTAGCTACTGCTCTCGCTTTTGCGACTACGGTAGTTATATGTCCATGTAGTTGTTGCTTGCGGTGGCTTTAGTCTTACTCACGCCGCTCGCCTATAATGTTTATATAATTTTTCGTATCTTTTATTTTTCACATGCATACCGCGCGAGGTTTTTTATGGCTCATTTGTGGGTTGGGTTTCGGGTTTTGTGCACTCAACTCGATAAAAGCGCAGCTCGAGTGCTGATTTCTGTTGATTTAACACAACTCTCTGTGGTCTTTCATTTCGTTGGTTAAGAATAGTGTACTTGATAAGAAAACCACAACATATAAACTGAGCTTAAGCGGACTGTATTTTATAATATCAGTTTTAAGTGGTTTTTGAGTAGCTATGTATCATTAAATTCTCAGGCTTTAATAATAGATATTCGGGATAATATTGATAAGCAGAATCACCGTCTTGGACTCAATCCGAGTATAAAATCAAAGCAATTTACAGATTTTTTAAAATAAATATTCCCTTATGTATATTAGTCGAAAAAGCTTTTATTTGAATTGTTTTTGAATACATGTGGATTTTAATATATTTTATTCTACTAAAGTTAGTAAAATAAAAAATGCCTCGCTTTTAGACTACCTGACTTAGGCTCCACTTATTCTCTTAAAGGTCATCTAAGTAATACCCCAATTAGGATCGTGATTCTTAGGAACCAATTCTTCCTGTCCTGATTTTATTTTGTTGTGCTAAATAAAATGGCAACATACACCGGAAACTCCGGCCAATAGACATGGCAAGGTGATGGTCATTGCTGACGCTTCCAAAGCTTTTTTTTTTTTTTGAATAAAATGTATGTATGTATGTATGCCACACACAATAGGCTGACATAGAGAAGTGGAGAATTCTGCGGAAGTTCAATTAACAACCTACTAAGTGGGTAGACAGAGAGGAAAAGGTGGAGGGGGAAATGAGATATCGTTGTTAGTGAAAGGAAGCAAAGGGTAATTTTTAAAGCTTTGCATTTGCAGTTACTTTTCTCGAGAAAATATTTAATCATCACGTTGATAAATGAAACAAAAGAAACTAAAATTATTTATAACTTTGATTCATATATTTCTTGAATGCACTATAAATTTAACTTCCACCTCTAATACATTTCAATAAGGGAGCAGTAAAATTGGTTTAATGAAATATTAAAAAGTTGATTGTACGCTCAATTTGACTGACCTTCAGTCTTATATATTTTTTTTAAGATATAGCCTCAGATACATTTAAATGTTTGTCCGTGTGTTGTTGTGTATGTTTGTACAAATATATAGTATATAAAAAATGTATATTCATTTTTTATAATGAAAGACAACGACTACAAAAGCAAATACAACAGACAGCAGACTCATAACAAGCCAGAGAGGGAAATACCAGTCAGCAGTCGTCGCGACTCGCTCCGTCGGTGGTTGTTGTTGTTATTGTTATTGTTGTTATTTGGTTTCTTTCAAGTCCGTTTTTAGTCCAGTTCCAAATTGCCAACACTGTTGCTTACTGCTGCTTGTTGTTTCTTTTTTTTTTTTCATACACTTGCAGATAGCGGGGGGTCTTTTAATTTTTTAGCAAAAGTAAGCAGTAACGAGGTGTATT